CTCAAAAATAAACAAAAACTGCTGTGTTAATGCAAGAGTTAGGGATAGACTACATATTACATATATGTAATTTTTCAATTCTTTCATAGTTCCAACATAAGTCTCTTTCTCTTGAGACAAAAAAAGTTGCTGTGAATGCTTCAGTCATCCTAGCAATCTTAGGGCTGGTTCACCAGATGCTTTCCAGTGAATTTTTAATATGTATCTGGAACGCATGTACAGTAATTGCCATGTATTTCAATCGCCCTAAATTATACCAGTGCAGGCAGTTCCAGTGCTTTAAATAAAAGTACAACCTGCTGAAGTTTTTTTTTTACACCTGAAACATGTCAAAATGCATGTAAACGCACTGGAACGCATACAAGAATCCATTATCCTAAGATTTTTCTAGTGTCAAAATAAAAAAAAAATAGGAACGAAAAAGCACAGGAATGCATTGCAAATGTGTCATAAGCGCACATGCAAAAATGCATCCAGAATGATGATGGTATGAACCAGCCCTTAAAATTTGTGTAAAACCTTGTCACTGTCACTTTTGTGGACAACCTGGCTTACATATAAATGTGCTGAAAAAAAAAAACTAAATACGTGTAGCGCTCACCACCAAAGGAGCCGTTGGAATTAACGGACACTTCTGTCCTTACTTCATTGATGAACCATATATATATTGGATCCACAGCACACCATTACACCTTGTGGGAAGTTTCATAACAGGTTTAATAAGACAGGTAAAACTCTGCAAATTAACTTGGAAAATAGCAGTTAAATGCACTGAATACACAAACCTTCTAGAATTGGCACAATGACATCAATAAACACAATATTCATGTATATATGTATATACCGGCAGGGGCGGACTGACAACCCATGGGGCCCCTGGGCAATAGGGGATCATGGGGCCCCTGTGTCCTTGCCCAAACTCAAAAAAGCCTATGAAAAAGGTACCAGGGGCATCTCATGGGGCCCCCTACTGACCCCGGGCCCTCGGGCAGTGCCCGAGTTTCCAAATGGTCAGTCCGCCCCTGTATACCAGTATAGCTATAAATCAGAATTAACCCCCTGCAACTACAGCAGCAATATGTCCCCAGCTAAACTGACATCTCTTTAGGCTCAGTCCCAGATTCACTTGTATACTGTAGGATTGTAACACTGTGTGAGCCTATGTGTTGCACAGGCCTGTGCTAGTGAATCGGCGGAGCGCTCTTAAGGACTGACATGTCACTGGTTAGCAGTTGCTCACCACATCCAAGAAAAACAGTCTCTAGGGGTTAACTCCTTGAAGGGATGATGATTTCTCTCTCTCTGACTAGTGTTTCCTGTTGTCAGGTGCCTCACCTGGGATGGTCACACGCTCCTCTGCGATTTCCAACACTCTGACCTCTCTCTGCGGTGGGAGATGTCGTTGCTGTCAGTAACTGCCATCTCTGGTGACTGGTACCAATGATCACATTTGCCGCTGACTTCAGCTGCTGTAGATAACCGTTGTCCTTAGCAACTGCTGCCGATCTGGAAACAGTGTCAGTGTACTTCAACAGTAGGGGCTGCAGACTAGCTCCCACATGTCCTCTGCAAAGGCACACATGGCTCACCTCCTTGCAAAGCATCTTGGTCCTGTAGTCCTGTGAAGTATAAAGTTACATTGTCTGCCTCTGTAATGAAACTGCAACTCCCACAAACACTCCAGTACTGCTGAGAGCTGAGCCAATCAAACCCTTTCTGACAACATGCAGACTTAAAAGCTAAACAGCAATGGCCCCACTACTGATGATGAAGTTCTCACAGGTATTCTGACATCTTCACTCAGGGGCAGTAGGTGGTTTTGATGCTAGGTTTTTAAGGGCCCTGTCTTGCCATCAGGCCGGATTTGGTGTACAGGCAGGCTAGGGAGCTGCCTGCAAATAACCTCCTTTGGGGAGTCTGCTGATAGCAAAAGTTCTGGGTGACCCCTCTCCAAATCTTTCAAAGTCAGGCAACAGAGAGGATTCTCTGTTTGATACTTCCTCAAGTCTTTATTGGAAAGGGCAGGCAGTCCCTCATCCCACACTTGGGATAGGTCACAGTAGAGCTTTGGGACTCCAACCATGGTTGCTCCAAGGGTTTCAGCCCCCGTTGCTCCTCTTCCTCAGTACTCAATCCCTTGACACAAAACCTGAACGCCTTCTGTCATCAGTTTAATCCACTCTTCCTTAGCAGAGCATCAGCATCTCTATTTCCAACTCCAGGTCGGTACTTCAAGCTGAAACGGAAACTGGAAAGTGCTGCAACCTCTGCTGTTCTGGAAACAGTGCCAGTGTACTTCAACAGTAGGGGCTGCAGACTAGCTCCCACATGTCCTCTGCAAAGGCACACATGGCTCACCTCCTTGCAAAGCATCCTGGTCCTGTAGTCCTGTGAAGTATAAAGTTACATTGTCTGCCTCTATAATGAAACTGCAACTCCCACAAACACTCCAATACTGCTGAGAGCTGGGCCAATCAAGCCCTTTCTGACAACATGCAGTCTTAAAAGGGAAACAGCAATGGCCCCCGCTACACACAATAAAAAATAAACAAAGGTGAGTGAAGAAAAATGAAATTCATATATTGAATAATACTATACATCATACTGAATCAATATATGTCTTAACTGCATAAAATCACCAAAATGCAAGACTTTCCATGAAATTGGGCCTTTAGGTTCATTCTGGAAATTGGCAGACACATTTAAGAGTGATGTAGTGAGCCCTATTGGCAATGTTTGGATATGCGATAACTATCAGAGAGTTAGCAATAACTTTTAGGCTATTGGCTACCTGGCTCCTGGGATTTAGCCTGGCTTTGGAGAGTCTACAGGTCTGACTACTAAAAAAGCAGGCAGAGCCTTTGAACACCTTTTTATCTCCTTTCCCTTTTATACAGAGATAGATGTATCTAGGGTAATAAAGCGGCATCCTCCACAAATTAAATCTCTTGAAAAGGAAATGCCAATAGCTGCCAATAAAATATGCAAAACAGGCTTTCTCACTTCACAAGGTAGAAGATGTTCTGTACTGGAGTTATTTTAATCTGTCACATCGAGGGAGTCTACAGAAGGATTTCAGCTTGAAACAAATATTAATAGCAGACTGAGGCGGCTTGCATGTATTTGTGGCTCCTTTTATCACAGCTGCCAATAATGGCGTGGCATTTCTAGGGACTAAGGGCCTAGATATCATATTGGACCTCATTCAACATGCCTTTAGGGCACATTAGAATCAGGTTTTGCTCAGTTTTATTTTAGGATATTTTGGTGTTGACAGATTTAGAAACTGATGTTTTATATATATTCGTCATAATCGTCATAATCAGCTTTAAGTTAAAGTCTTTTAAAAGTTGTTTTTATTTATGTTTAAATATTCAAATTGAATAACAAAAGTGCTTCTGGTGTGAGTTTTGAAGATGAGTTTCTACACAGTGTTTGCAACATTCAAACACTGCTTTCAATGGCTTAGCTCACTCTGCTCCTCCTCCCAGCAGTGACTCAGTAGCTCAGTTAGGGTTTACATTAAAAATGAGAAGGCTGGGAGTATGCCAAGTTACTGCATGGAAGTATATGGTGTGGGAGTGCTGAACTCTGCAGAGATTTATTGTAGCATTCTAGCATGGTGTATTCCCCACCAGTCTTGGAGGCTGCTCTACAATAACGGGTAGATAGGACTCTACTTTAATGAGCTGAGAAATGATGTCTCCTCTATCCTCATTCCACTCTACGGAGCAGGCGTGGACTGACAACTCATGGGGCCCCCGGGCAATAGGGGATCATGGGGCCCCTGTGTCCTTGCCCAAACTCAAAGAAGCCTATGAAAAAGGTACCGGGGCATCTCATGGGGCCCCCTCCTGACCCCGGGCCTCGGGCAGTGCCCGAGTTTCCAAATGGTCAGTCCGCCCCTGCTACAAAGTAATATGCTAAAGCAAAATCTGGCAAACTATAAGGCAGATTACATATTGAATTCTTTCTCCGTCATCTGCTTCAATGAACTTCTGCTATTTTTCTATGTTACCCAGTTTCTTCCTTGAAGGTACCAGTATTTATCTAGATGTTGTTGAGACAGTCTGTTGTCATTTCTAACTTATTTTTACCCCCCCCACGCCCTTATTTTTCTATTTACACATAGAACATATTCATAGATGTTTATGTCTCTTCTTGGGGTTCTTGAGGTTTCTTGTTCTTGATTTCTATCATTATTGGGTACAGCCCTTAGGTAGCCAACCATTATGCATGCCTCCAGTTCAATATAGAAAAATTGTAAGCACTTATTGGCTATTTTAACCTAGATCTGTGGTCCTATATGTGATCTTTCAACCACTTAGGTTACCTGAATACATTGTCTGTATGTCACCTGCAATTCTGTACCATGGATAATGCCTTCATGTATTGTGTGCATTTTGCGTCTCCCAGGGGACCCCCAGAGGACCCCCAGAGGAAAATGCTGGAGTGTTACAAGCATGAGAGCACCACACTAGTATGGCTTATAAGATGATGGTAGCTATGAGAGTATTGAAGAGATTATTAGGTCCTGATATGCAGTTAGAGAAATGGAGTTGATGTAGAGAGGATATTATAGGCTGTCTGCAAACACCATCTCTGTAACTGCAGTAAAGGACCAAATGCTTTCAATTCCCTCCTAGCTACCACTATTTTATAAACCCCGATGGAGGGGGATGGGTTTTTGAACCCCTAAAACACAATGGATTTTTCATATGAAATAAACTTTTGGATGGCCTATACATACTAGTGTGATAACCTCATGCTTCTAACAGTGCTGGGAAGGAGGCACATCAGAACATACACAATGGCCTTATGTAATTGACTGCCTTCTAAGCTGAACAAGTGTTTTTTGGCAGCACTGTAGCTGTATAAAAATGCCAAGATAGGGTACACCACCACTTGTGATCTACACTCTGGACCAACAGTAATGAGCCTGCTGTCCAGGGATTGAGGGATGTGACGATTGCAATTTACTAAATGCTTTCTCTTACCAGGGTGGATCCTGTACCCCATGATGCCCCCAAACCACCTGGCTACACCCGATTTGTCTGTATTTCCGACACCCACTCAAGAACTGATCTCATCCAGATGCCATATGGGGACGTTTTAATACATGCCGGAGATTTTACAGAGCTTGGATTGCCTAGTGAAGTGAAAAAATTTAACGACTGGCTGGGTGAGTGGAAACTGGGTATTCATTGCTGCAGCAAGGCAACACTTTGCACTATGTATAGTGCATAACAGTGCTGTATATCTGAAAACTAATAATGCCAAGCTGTCAGTGCACAAGAAAGCCTTTCTGAATCCTCTAGGAAATGAGACGGTGGGGTTTCCACTAAAGTTAGACAGAAGTAGAAAGCACCTAGATTGACTGCAGACAGAGACAAAATTGTCCATGATATTAAAGGGTCAGTTCACTTCAAATGATACTCTAGCTATGTGGAGCTTAGTGAGTCGAGGTAGTCACTGACGTTTTATAGGTCTTTGATGCTACGAACAATAACTCCCTCCTCTGTTCCTGTTTTGGGTGTTCCTGTACACTTTTGTGTGTTCTAGTTACATTTTCCATGATTAAAATAAATAAAACATCCAGCAGAGATGGGGGAACCCCCATTATAGCAAAGTTATGCAGACCCAGGAACTCAATACAAGGATGGTGTAAACCCCCATAAATGGCCACAGGAGGTGCGCGGACCCAAGAACTCAGTGCAGAGGTGCTTTGAACCCCTCATAATGGGTACAGCAAGTGTGCAGACTCAAGAACTTCGTGCAGGGAAGGAGTCCCAGAGATATAAAGAAAATGAACCATCATCTGAAAAATGTTCAGTGTCTTTAGCACCTGTATGCTCATTACATTCTATACTTAATAAAGCAATATTTACACATTACATTCTATACTTAATAAAGCAATATTTACACATATCCCTCTTTCTGTACACTCAACTTCTTTGGTCCACCATTGTTTTTGTACTCCTTACCTGGTTGCCACCACACACACTTGACACCATCTGAACCAAATAAGTTTCTCTTGGTCTCATCAGACCACAGGACATGGGTCCAGTACTCCATGTCCTTAGTCTGCTTGTCTTCAGCAAACTGTTTGCGGGCTTTCTTGTGCATCATCTTTAGAAGAGGCTTCCTTCTGGGATGGCAAAATGCTGGCAGGGCTATTTTCGGCCGATATGTTTCGGTGGCCGAAATTTTGGTGCATCCCTACTTTTTACATAGCATTAAAATTCACTGGCACAGCAGTAAGTAAAACATTATATCAGCTAGGTGTTCTTTCTGCAAACCTCTAGGAATGAAGCTACTGTGCTTGAGCTGCTTGCCCACTCACATTCAGAAAGAAAATAAAGAGTGAATGAGTTCCTCAGTTTCTGTGAGGTTATACCATCAAAAAGTAAATTCTGCAGAGTATTTTATGTATTCAGAAGTTTTCTTTGGGGCTGGATACATCTACTAGAAAGGTTGTCTGAGGTATTTTAATGTTTTCTCTCTTAGGAAGTCTTCCATACGAATATAAGATTGTCATAGCAGGAAATCATGAGCTGACATTTGACCATGAGTTTATGGCGGACTTAATCAAACAAGACTTCTATTATTTTCCTTCTGTATCCAAGTTGAAGCCAGAGAATTATGAGAATGTCCAATCGCTGCTCACAAACTGTATCTATCTTCAAGATTCTGAGGTGACAGTGCGAGGATTCCGAATATATGGCTCCCCATGGTAAGACCAATTTTCAAATCTTGTTACTCCACCTGTGTGTGAAAGTTTAGGGACTAATGCAGTATAACTTCTGTACAACATTTTTCTAATAATATCCTTTTAACTACTTTTATAATCATTTGCTCTTTTTCTTGTACTTCTGACACATTTATTCTGAAAAGACCTTCACTTTCAGTTTGACGTTTTTAATACACCATAGGCAGTCTTCCACCAGTGGTACCTTCTGAGGTCTTTAAGGCATATGACCAAACTTTTCCTTTATGTAGTATTGTGTGGCTTGTTGCTCATTAAAGGGTTACTCCACTTTTGTTGGAAAAAAGCATTCACCTCTGGGTAATCTACAGTGCTCAGCATAAATGAGTGCACCCCCAACAGGTTTGTCAGAAAACCTTTATTTTACTTTTAGAATCAACATTTTCTATGGGACACTATACTACAAAATATTCCTGCAAATGCTGGCCATTGATTGCAAACAAGATTTGTTAATTTGCACACACAAAAAAACTAATTTTCCTAACAAATTCATTCAAGACCATGTTGCAAAAAGGAATACACCCCAATGAAAGTCTTAGGAGCAAAGCTAAATTTTAGACAACAAAATCCTAATTAACAAGAATTAAACTACAGGTGAGTCTAATTATTCATTAAACAGGTGTCCAGCAGACAGTTGATCATAAAAGGGCGTTACTTAACAAAGAAAACCCCTTCCCATTTCATGCTATCAGTAATGGCTCTACATGGAAGAGAAATGTCACAAGGCCTGAGAAAGAAAATAATTTCTTTACACAAGAGAGGTGAAGGCTACAAGAAGATCAGCAAAGCTTTATTTATCAGTCAGAATAAGGTAGCAAAAGTGATACAAAAATGTAACAAAGATGGAACTGCAACCACCTCACAGTGACATCCAGGCTGTCCACGGAAGTTAACACCTTGACAGGAGCATCTTCTGATGAGAAGGGTTGACAAAAATCACTATGCAAGTTCACTGCAGTTATCTAAAGAAGTAGAAAGCCAAACTAGGTTGATTGTTTCCCATGACACAATATGGTGTACACTGCAGAGGAATGGCATGCATGGGTTTTGTCCACGAAGGAAGCCTCTCCTAAAGACCATGCACATGAAAAAGAAGAAGACTACTACAGGGACTCTGTACTCTGGATGAGACCAAGATAAATGTTTTTGGAACCGCTGGCTTCAAAACTGTATGGTGTCGCAAAGGTGAGGAGTACAAAGAAAAATTAATGGTGCCTACAGTGAAACATGGTGGTGTCCTTCTGTGGGGCTGCATGAGTGCTGCTGGTGTCAGGGAGCTGCATTTAATTGATGGTATCATGAATTCACAGATGTACTGGTCTATATTAAAGAGAAGATGCTACCATCACTTGGTCGTTATGCACTTTTCCAACATGACAATGATCCAAAACACACATCTAAAGCCACTGTTGCATTTCTGAAGAAGAACAGCGTGAAAGTGATTCAGTGGCCAAGAATGTCTGCTGATCTGAACCCAATCGAACACCTATGGGAAATTCTGAAGAGACAAGTTGAGCATTACTCTCCATCCAGCATCCAGGCTCTAAAAGAAGTCGTTCTTGAAGAATGGAAAAAGATAGATGTTGCAACATGTCACCAACTTCTTCATTCCATGCCTAGGAGACTTGGTGCTGTCCTTACAAATCATGGAGGTCATACAAAATACTAGAGGTAGTAGTTTTTGTCATGGGGTGTATTAATTTTTGCCTGTAATGAGCTAAATAAATGTTTTTTTAAAACTCAGTTTTGTCAAAATTTTGAAAATTGTTTTAGTGTTCATTGAGATATTGATTAAAATATTACTTCCTAAAAGGGGTGTACTCATTTATGCTGAGCACTGTATGTACATTGCAAGAATTTTTAACAAACTTTGTTGCAGATTCCTACCATTGTTATTCTGGAGAAATAGATGTGTTTGTCTGTGTCTATTGCCAGAGTGAATCTGTATGGGAGTGGTTTTATAGTTATCAATCAGCTGCAGGGCTTTAATGAGGAAAACTGCATGGTCTGCATTCCTTTAGAGGTGATTTCCAATTGGGAGTATCTCACCAAAGATGACATTTTTGTTGCAGGGAATCCCAAAAATCTGACGTGTATCTAGTGCAGACTTCTGTGAAAATCTGTAAGTCAATTACACAAGCAGGAAATGACATTTTCAGGGGGCGTTCTGTACATCATCTCTGTACAGAATGCCTCCAGGTAGCTGTATTGCAATGCATATTACAGAAAATGACAGTGCTGCAGATTGAAAAGGAAAGGTCATTTTTTAATAACATTCAATTACAATATGATTTCTGTTGCAATTGTATACGCTAAATTGTTTTTTTTTTATTTGCTAATTTTCCCACAAACGTGGAGTTACCCTTTAATTACATGCGACAATTAAAAAATGAAACTGCAAACTTCAAAGGGTTAGGCCACCCCGATCTGTGTGGAAATACTGGGGAGTGTAACACCTAGTCAGTTTCTTTTATCTCTTGGGAAAACTATTGTTGAGATCTCTACACTAAGTCCCTGGGTTGGCACACCTGATGTTGTCATTTTTAGGGGCTCCCACCATTTCTGCTGATTTTTTATATTTATTTTAAATTGGAGAGTGTAACAGGAGGAACCAAAAACCCAAAGGTGGGCAAGGACAATTAAAATGTCCAGGTGGCCATGACCTGGGAGTAATGGTAGAGAGATCTCACTGATGGAGTATCAAGGATGAATCCAGGGATAGACTCTTCCCACTAAGCACCACCTGTATATATATAAAAAAATAACTTTTTGGTGCACTGACTCTTTAAATGGTAGGTTTGCTTTCCAAAGAACAAACAAAAATCTCCTTCCCTGTCACCAATCATCAAATTGTAAAACAGATGTACAGAATTCAGATGCAGACATCCAGTATTACATCCTCTAATGTTCCCTCATACTGTAAAGTTGTTGCAGGTGAGCTGGGTCATGCCTTAGGGACTAATGACAGTGTCTGTCCCATACATTTAGGTTAGCCATTATTCCCTGTGGCTAAGCCTGGCACATGGATGCTGGAGCAATGCAAGATATATATATATAGTATATATATATATATATATATATATATTCCTTGGCAGGCTGAGCAGTAAAAATTCTTCTTTTTAAACACCAAACATTAGCTCTTTCCAGAAGGATGGTGATGTCACTCTTGCATAAGTGCCGTGGGAAGAAGACAGGTATATTTTTAATGTGCTTGGGAAGAAGAGGGAAGTATATTTTTAATGTGCTTATTTAAAGAGGCTCAGTGCAGGGATTTACATGGGGCCACTACTGTATTGTATTTTGGTGCAAGTCCACTTCAAGCCATTAATCTAAATTCAGCCAAACCTTGTTGTCACTATTAGTCAAGATACGCTCAACTCAAGAATCAAGCCTCTCCAGCCGCAAGTGAAACAACATCAGCAATGTCTTCAATTTTCGCAAAAAAGCAAACTCTGAACCCCTCACTGACAAACTCTCGCCTTGTACATCACCTTCGATTTCTAAGCTGTGATGGTAGACCAATGTTTGATATAAATCAGTATTTTTATTTTAATCTCATCCTCCTCTCAAGATGATTGTGATTTATGTTGCTAGGGTGGTCGTGTTTGGTATGCTGTGTAAATTAGAATTCTGTATTAGACTGGAAAATGATGGGAACAAAATAGCGGAGGATGGCTGTGTTGAGGCAGGCTGATGTTGCCTCCAAACACGGGAAAGACAGGAGCCACCTGTAGAGCCAGTTTAATAAAAAAAGGATTCACTTATGTGGAAATAAATTGTTTTCCAGATTACTTACTGTAACAGGGTGTCTGTTCCTGCAGGAGTTACAATAGACCAGGTGGTAGCTTAGGAGAATCACAAATAAATATGTAAATTCACATTCTTTTTTGCTCCCTGTCTCAATTTAAAGGGAAACTAAGAAGTATTTGCAATGAACAAATACTTTGAGTTATAATAAAATTTAGCTTAAATCCCACTTGAGGTGACTGAAATAGATTAGCTTTAGGGATTGCTCCCAGTTCATGTAAAACATAGGTTCAGCCAAACTTTGAGTGTTTTGTCCAAATGCTGGACTTTCAGTCTGTTTGGCAGGAGTTGGTTATCATATATAGTAGCGTTGTTTACTCCCCCCTACTATATAGGACAGCTGCCTTCTTCTGCTGTCGAGGTTTTTAAGTGTAGTACCCTCTAGTGTTCTACTAGTGTTACTGTAGGTAAATTTATTATGCTATGATTCATGGTACCTGTGTGAGTTTGTAATTAGGTCAGGTTACTGTAGGTCAGGCTGGGTAACTCAGCTGGTTGGGACTCTATCACCTCCATCTGGTTCTGGAGGACCGTGGAAGCTTCCAGAAGCCAATGGGCGGGAGGGGGTGGAGACCTACATCTTCAAGTTTATGGGATTCTGGCCAATCCCAGGTTTGGCAGCCCTGGTAGTGGATAAGGCTAACCCATAAATATGACAGAGCCATGCTAGCAAGGGAATCAGGTGAAAGAGGGAGTGCTGAGGAGGCTGTCGGTGGTCTGGGAGAGGTACCCTAGGTCTAGGGGGTGCATGGCCTCCAGGCTGGGCTCTGGCTGGCTCAGGAAGATCCATTCAGCATTGCAGTATGAACAGGATCATTGCTTGGGAGCAGTTGGAGCAAGAAGCGCTGAATGAGTACATCAGCACACCCAGAGAGCACTTTAACAATACGGAGGCACCTAAATACCAGCCTCCTTCCTATGTACATGAGTAAGGTACCCCCTACTCATTCACAGAAAAGTGATAAATAAATAAAAACACACACAGTTTTGACAATTATTTTAATAACCCTGAAGGTTATATATTTTTCCTGTTTGTCTGGTAGAAATTGTAACATAGTCTTGTATTAAAAAACATATTTTCTTCTGGATGTGCAGTTTCTATGTAGATATAATAAAGGACACTTTTTTGCTGCAGTTTGCATTTTTCAATCTGTATGCCA